TGGGGCCATTTTAACTCCCAAGAGAAACTTAAGACGACGCTTATGCAAAATTTTGGAGTGACAAACAAAGAGCATTATGGTATGTTACGGTATTTCTGGAGTGGTCAATATAGACTTTTCACAGTCCTCTATTTTTCCGTAAGATCATCGAGATCGAGCGCTTTGTGTTATGGGCTGCCATCTTGCATGAGTGTCAAAACTACTTATGGGGCGGCCCCTCATCCCCCACCCCCAGAGCTATAATCCCCGACGCCCGCCCCCCTCGGTACACGGTACGTTTGAAAATCAAGATACTCGTGACGGCAGGTAAGACGCGGTATATCTAGACGATCTCACGAAAAAATAGGGGACTGTGAACAGTCTATGGTCAATAGGGAGCCTGTACCGTGTTTAACTTGATAATAGAAATCCATATTATGGTCAATTGATAGCTAGCCTCCCCGCAGGCGTTTTTAGGGGAGAACGTATTTCTTCCGTCCCCACAACGCCTGCGGGGGAGGCTAATTGATAGCTGTCAAAACAGGGTATCTGCTGACCAAAACCACATGACCCTATCACGGGCTCACGTACCAACGCATCGAGGGAACGTTTTTTTTTTTTTCAGGTTTTCTGCTGACCATCTTTGCAACGGTTCCCAAATCATTGTCTGAAGTAAATTATCAATGCATAAACTGGAGCTTCGCTTTTAGCTCTGGCTCAAATCTATAAATTATTAAAGAACTGAGCTCTTTGATCCTGGATCAAATAAAGCGCTTTCTATAATCAAAACTAAAATACAATGCTGACATAAATTCCTTTGGGTAGAGCTTCATTACTTTATCTCTACATAGAAATCCTCAAACATTGTTTTAAATCCCAAAGTGGAGAAACGTATATAGTCAGATGAACCAAGGCCCCATCTTTTGCCAACTGTGGAAGGCGAAGCCTGGAGAGAATGAAAATTGCCAGTGTGGACTCAGCCAGAGTGAAAGGAAGTGTGTCCCCTTGGGAAGGTACTCATAACTTGGGGTGCAACAACGCCTATAGCCCCTTACAGGTTCCCAGCTATAATGAAGTGGCCAAGGGACAGAAAAAGTGTGTTTGTTGTAAAAGGGGAAGGTGATGTCAGGGTCCCTGTCATCGATTTCACTGTACACTAATGTAAGGGAAAATAGAGTTTATAATTCATTATATCTACTATTGAACTGTGTTTGTTGAGGTTCCACTATACTATTACTAGACAGACAAACATAAAACCTGAAATTTTTATTCTGCAGGCAAAATAAAGGTCAAACCCTTCTTTGTTTTTAAAAGGGGTCCTAACTTTTACAGACAGATCAAGCGGTTTTACAGCAAAAAAATTCCACCCTTCTTTATGGTTATGCATTATTTTCTACCAGACTTCAACTATGAAGTTTTTCATAACCATCATGACATGCACATCAATAACACATGGACTCGAAATTGATATTCTTTTCCAGCTTATAATTTTCACCCTTCTTCACAGTTGCATATTACCCGTATTTACTTCCAAACTCATGATATCTGTGTTACCACATTATTTTAGACTACCTAATCATAACAGAAAGTCAAACTTCTGCAAATTGAACAAGTCCATCATTAAAATAAATATACAGTATTTTATAGTTAAGAGCACAATGCAATTTTTATCTATGCTACCAGGCCGAAGTTGCATGTGATTAATCAGAAGTGGCAATTTCAGATTCCAAGCAATGTTATTATCAAATACCACATCCTGATAGGATACCCCCTCCCCATCCCAGACTACTTTAAAAAAGAAAACAATCACTTTTCACAAGAGTTTATTTATTATGACAGCATTCTACACTTGAAATAACCATTACTTCAAGAATCAAAATTCCTGTCAAAAGAAAAAGAAATATCAAAATGAGTAAGTAATACAAGCTTCTCCAAAGGATACTTGTAGTAGTAACATTTACAAATTAGAAGAGTGTCCAGCATGAAAAGGGAGTGAGAAAGTGTTTTTACTGCTGTGCATGATCATTCATGTGAATTATCATGCTGACAGAAAGCTCCTTGAAAACACTGATGAACTGGTGAATGCCTCACGAAAGTGGCATCAAAAACAGAGAGTAGTTTGATGAGAGAGCCCAATAGGACTGTGCACTTAAGAAGCAACTACTTCAAACAATAACAAAGAAAATAATTTGATCTCCTAACATTATAACTATTTGTTTCCAATCACAAGGGCTGACTATTTAAACAAAGAATAAACATTTCATGGACAGGGGTTTTAGACAATAGCTGGAGTTCAAAAGTTGTCTAAAACAGGGTTATTTAGAGTTAAAGCTTTATTTTTTCTTGCACTTTTTCTTCCACAGAGAATAAAATCTAGATAATAGCTCTGGCTGAATTAAAGATGGTTTGAAATGCAGCTTTGCTAAGCAGCCACAAAATTTTGTTTCAACAAATGGCCCAATAGACTGCCATCCTACTGACGAATAGTTACAACTTATACATTTTTCATGTATGTAACACAATCCAATGTAAGTAGATTTTCCTTTTTTTTCCTTTAATACTATTTATGTTCTTGAAGATATTAGCCTTTCAGGCTACGTTGAAATTTGAGTACAAATAAAGTTCCTGTATGTGTGTATAGACATTAACTGCAACAACAATTTGCTGTCTGTCCTCTTTGAATTGAAAAGCTACATTTCTGCAATTTGCCTTAAATTGTTCAAAGAAAAAATACAAAACAAATTTATGGATCCTTCAAAGTGCAGTGTAACATAGTATCATCAATGCTCAATTCATGATCTAAAAAAATCAGCCTATAAAAATTGCATTTTTCCGATTTACCCTCAACAGGTTTTTATGCCACTAACGTTACCTGGGAATTCAATTGGCCATTATTTATACAGTAACCCAGGGGGGGGGTACTGGGGATTTCAAGTGACGGGGATGATCGAAGGATTTTTTTGGGTTTGAAATTTTCAATTCCGGGATTTTTTTGGGTACGAAAATTTGGCTTGGGTAGCTTGATTTGAGTAGGGAATTTTTGGGGGTATTAAAAAGAATCAGATGAGGGAAAGGATATATTCAGATGGTATGATGAATAAACAAACACGAGTGTCCAATTTCCAATGTTTTTCTTTGTGTTTTACCATTACCCCTTTCTGGAACTTTTAAGGGCCACAAAATCGGCATGGGATTTTTTGGGGGTTAATTTTTGGTCCAGGGATTTTCTTGGGTTTTGCTGGAAGCCCTAGGGATTTTTTTGGGTCTTGACTTTTGGCCCCATTCGATCATCCCCATCACTTGAAATCCCGAGTACCCCCCCTGGGTACAGTAGCACCCTGGTAACTCAAACTCGGATAACTTGAGCTCCCCGCTAACATTTCCCTTGGATTTAACCCTACTTTTCAGTCACATTTACTCAGATAACTTTAACTTGTTGCTGGAAGAATGATGCTACTGTCTGTTGGTTAACTAAAACTCTTCAAGCAACACAGAGGTAAATGTAGTTGTTATGCCACAAAATGTCATAATTAACCAAAAATATAAAATATATCATTTTTACAAACAGTTTTGTCTGCATTTTTTATGATCAAACAATCAGCATTCCTTGAAGAAACAAAAGACTTGGCATTTTAAAGACAATGTCCAACAAGGAAATATGATATTGGTTGTTAAAATGAAAACATCTGGGCCATCAATTCCAAATGCAAAGTGGCTTTAAGACCTGTTTTGTATTTATTTTCTACATGTATTTATATGCTTTTAATTTCAATTCCTTACTTCAATCCATTTATCCTGTTCAATAGCATACTAAATGGAATGTCTGACTGCAAACTAGGGTAATATTATACAGTCGAACCTCCACTAACAGTCACCTCTCCACAATGGTTACTTTTTTTGGCGGACAGTACATACATGGACACTTGATTAAACCTCTTTACAACATCCACCTCTCCACAAGGGCCACTTTCTTCTCTAAGTGTGGAGAGCAGAGTGCAAAGAAAGTAGTGTCTGATAGCCCGGGGCTAGTACATGTATGTGCTAGCTACAGCTTGCCCGAATAACAAGCTGTAAAACTGACTTTCTTTGCATCCTGGGAGAGGTTCAACTGTATCAATAATCATTTATTCCGTGGTTATTTTAAGCTCAACAGGGAAAAAAGATAAAATTGCTTTAGCTGCTATAAAATGCTAAATATTCCTTAAGCAAGTTTATGGCTGTACTTAATTTTCACAGGGTATTGAGAAATAGTGCTCAGATTAAAAAATAATAATTATTATTAATTCTTAGCGAGACTAGAGTAACACAGAATTCAGCCACAATAAAATATAGTTCATAAAAGTTGGTTACTCAGCTGATAACTACGCTGTGGATTCTTGTGGTTTTGCAAAGTTTTGTATACTTAAATATGATTTTGCCAGACATACTAGAAGAACGGTATACACTTATTATTTTGTACCACTTGTAAGTCTCTGCTTTTGAGCTGGAAAGCAAGTCTTTCCATTAAACCAGACATTATTTTTAAATATCTTGGCAAATCATCCTCCTGGTGCAAAAATGATTTAAGTGAGTGAAAATGTAATTAAAGACATTTAGGGTTTAAGGGTACTCATTGTAACTTTCACATTGTCAAAACTTGTAAAGTTAAAGGTGAAAGCTATTCAAAAAAACAAGTTTGACGGAAAAACTACGGTGCTGTGCCTGTAGGTATTTGTATATGGTGAGCGCTCCTGTAAAATACACACTCTAAATTTTGACTATATTGTTGGGAAAAAAATGAGGACAGTGAACAACATTCAGTTGCATTCTAACTTCAGGTTTCTGGCTATCTTAAGGTTCAAGCTGTCAAAATGACTTAATACATTATCTATAAAGTCTTTATACTTCATGGAACAAACGATTCCAACCAAGACCTTGAAATTTGAAACAGGGTATGGTAAATAAAGAGCACATTATACAAGACTAAATACAGTATGATGTTTAGCAAATACTCTCCAGCCATAATAGGTCTGACACAAATATTAAGAGTGAGGATAAACATACTTGTTTATGATGCCATGTTTGCAACACAACCTGGTCAGAGCATCATCAGCCTCACCCTACATAAATGAAACAATAAGTTAACTAGCTTTCAGAACAATGGGTGAAATACATTATAAATAATAATAATGATGATAATGAAATAATTATAATAAAGAAAACAAATTTGGATAATTTCAGCACTTGTGAGATAAAAACTAGCCTCGACACCAGCACAATAGGCCATTTGCACTTAAAGGTCATGTGACATTGTTTTTATGAAAATAAAAGTTATATGATTTTGCCTTTGAAAAATGATTAGTGGGTCATATCTTAAGCGAAATAATAGTTATTTGGTTTTTCACACCAGCACCATTTTCTAAATGTGATTCTTAAAATTATGAATTACCTCTTTCTGAACACAAATTTTGCACTTAAACTTCAAGGAAAGTGTTGAAAAGATGATGTGGTAACGTTTGCAGCACATCTGAGCATAACTATCAAACGTTTGACAAGATATAAGCAAAAAGTAGTTTTGGCTGCCATGTTGGAGGGCAAGAGTATGCCCTCCAACATGGCGGCAAGTACTTTAAAAACTGTACGTGTACTAATAAAAACAGCTTGAATATGAACAGAAGATTGAAAGGAATGCTTCTGCAAGCAAAAGGCCTTTCAGATGTCTTGATGGAATTTTTTGCTCCATAAGAAGTGACAAAGGGTCTTAAAGGTTACTCTTTTAATTAACTAATGCTTCATTCACACCAACAATAGGCAGAACATTACTCCTTAATTTTGGCAAGAAACTTCAGTGTTGATTTAGTTATATTTGTGAAATAATAAAACACAATTTTATTTGAATGGATGACCCTATCCATTCACACAGATGCCATTTTTTGTTAACAAATAACAGCAACCTTATGACAATGGTCAATGTTTTTTTTTTTTTCAACTGACTTTATAACTGATTTCAGAAAGTTTCTGTCTATCATTGCCATGGTTATAGATTTTTACTGTGTCTAGACAAATTTCAGATCAAAAGCAGTTAGTGATGAAAATTTCACGACGCAGTCAGACAGGTAAAGATTGCTTCAGGGCAATTGCAAAAATGCTGGTGCGTGCTCTGGAAAAATCAATAACAAGAACAATTTTGAAAGGCAATTAATTCCCCCACCTCTTGTCTGATCTTCCCACACAAGGCATATGTTTTGAAAGTGCCAGTGTATCGTCCAGTTTCATCAATCTGTATTTAACAAAGATTTTAGAAAGTCAGTATGCCATGCCAGAATATGTAATTTCTGATGATTGAGAGACATGGGAATGAATTAGTCAGAAATTAATATTCTGACGGCACGGTATAGAGGTGCGCTGGTGTTCCTGGGATAGTATCAGGCTATTTATGGTTTTGGCATGAGACTAGTGCCATTCTACATCAGCTCAGTCCTTCTGATAGTTTTCCTTTTCTACATTTTATTTTGTTATGTCTGTCAGATCTGTATGTTTTGGAATAACGTTTCTAATTTTGGTATATAGGTTATGAATTTAGGTATTTAGACAAGAACCCTTTTACATAAGTATAATTTTGGAGTAGTTTATGTAACATTGTAATGTATTTTCCTTGATCCCTTTCCCCAGGGTTTTATGTGCTACTGCATTAGTAGGGGAATATGTTTCCATATATTTTTTGGCCACTTCCCTAGGGTGGTTTTATAGTGGTTTTTCATATCTAACTACAAGTCCTAGCTTAGAACATTTATTAGTATTTTACTGGAGGGATATCATTGATTTAACACCTGTATTGGATGACTGACTGAGAGATGCATCCTTCTATTACGATACAACTACATCAGATGACTGACAGACGCATTCTAAATAAAGGATGTGTTCATGTTATGACATAATAGTTCCTTACGTATAGGTATGCATGCATCATCCCCATAACGTGCATATATTGATGCAAAAATATAATTAGGTTGGATTTATAATACCCATATTCTTATCTTGATACCAATATTCATGGTCTAATGCGAATATTTGGGTTCTTCTTCATATTTACTTATTAATCTTTTTNAAGATTTTAGAAAGTCAGTATGCCATGCCAGAATATGTAATTTCTGATGATTGAGAGACATGGGAATGAATTAGTCAGAAATTAATATTCTGACGGCACGGTATAGAGGTGCGCTGGTGTTCCTGGGATAGTATCAGGCTATTTATGGTTTTGGCATGAGACTAGTGCCATTCTACATCAGCTCAGTCCTTCTGATAGTTTTCCTTTTCTACATTTTATTTTGTTATGTCTCTCAGATCTGTATGTTTTGGAATAACGTTTCTAATTTTGGTATATAGGTTATGAATTTAGGTATTTAGACAAGAACCCTTTTACATAAGTATAATTTTGGAGTAGTTTATGTAACATTGTAATGTATTTTCCTTGATCCCTTTCCCCAGGGTTTTATGTGCCACTGCATTAGTAGGGGAATATGTTTCCATATATTTTTTGGCCACTTCCCTAGGGTGGTTTTATAGTGGTTTTTCATATCTAACTACAAGTCCTAGCTTAGAACATTTATTAGTATTTTACTGGAGGGATATCATTGATTTAACACCTGTATTGGATGACTGACTGAGAGATGCATCCTTCTATTACGATACAACTACATCAGATGACTGACAGACGCATTCTAAATAAAGGATGTGTTCATGTTATGACATAATAGTTCCTTACGTATAGGTATGCATGCATCATCCCCATAACGTGCATATATTGATGCAAAAATATAATTAGGTTGGATTTATAATACCCATATTCTTATCTTGATACCAATATTCATGGTCTAATGCGAATATTTGGGTTCTTCTTCATATTTACTTATTAATCTTTTTGTCATAAGTGGCATCCTATATTAAAGACTATGACACAGTACTAACAGTATTGCAAGTTTTACCTCTCCAACGTTAATCTGCACAGAAGCATGATCCTTTGCTGCAATCACACTGTTGGTGACGGAGCTGAAGAGAAAACAACATGCGTATATAAAACACGTGTAAAATGACATTTTTCCGTTCTAAAATTTGCCACTTCCATTCGGAGTTCAAGAGATACAAAGGTTCGATAACAAAAATTTAACACCTTCGAAGGTTTACCTATCTCTAAATGTAAATGCGCAAGGCGGTAAAGTAAAATGACTCAGGAACTCGTTAACTTGAAAGATCATAGTTAAGTCACCTCCATTAACTATGGAAAGATCAAACACGAGCATAATGGTTCACCTACCATTTTCGTGGAGTGTACATATCAACGTATTCTCCAGCTTCGTTCTGCATTTTCTTTTGTGATCTAAATAAGTAATACATAATGTTAAGTATTTTTTGACAGTTTTATTGCATTTTTTAACAGCTGAAAAGTGGGATATGCTATTTTACCTGGACTTTCTACAGAATCTACACACACGTGAAACAAAGATGGCGGAAAAGAGAGCGAAGAATGGACCGTCCCAGCATTCATAGCGCAGCTGACTCGTTTCCAGTTTTCTTGCTCCTTGAGCGGAGCTTCACTAGCTTGTATATGGGCTGTTTGCGCACATAGCTTGCATGCAGAGGGTGCAGACATCTATTTCCTTTCAGCGCCCATGAATCAAAGGACACTGGGACGACTTTCTGAGCCAAGTGGCTAAGGTTTATGGCGCTTCAATATTTTTCATAACTGGAAAAAAAATTAGCTTTAAAAATCTAGAATATGAAAAAGAAAATGGTTTTAATCAATACTATGGGCTGCACTTTATCATGTCCACAAAAAAGGGGCCTGTTATCTTAAACAGGAAACCTCCACAACTCGATTAGCTTGGTAAAGAGGGACAAGCAAAATAAAAAGAGCAAAAATTTTTGGCCCTTAGCCTGTAGCTTGTCGTATTACCGATGCACTCAGACTTCCACCTTATATTTGAAATTTTTAGCTTGATACAAAGATGTTTTTGGCTTATTCTAAATACCTATAAATTCGATATAAAAGTTTTAGAAAGGTTTACTGATATTGGAAGTAATCATCGTGGATCGGAGTAATGTAAAACCGATGCATGGGCATTTTTGGTGTCTTTGGGCCAAAGACATGATTTCACAATAAATTCTTGCAAATTCTTGACATTCACTGTATGTCGCACATCATACTATGAAGCAACGACGGAAGTTTTTTAGAGTTCCTACCGAACTGTAGTCAATAAAATAGGCTCCTCTACCGACAAAAATATGTACTTTATTGTTTGTATCAAAGGGAACCTAAGCTTTACTACGACAGGATGATACATCAGCAGCTTGTCACAGACACGTCTAATTATAATGTCATCGGCTTGTCAGGACTATCTATTACAATGGGCATTTGTATAAAGGACTACAATTCCGTGGTCTTCGAACAACCCCATCATGAGGTTTTTACTAGAGCTGGCGTGAAGTGACACTGAAACCGTAAAAGATCCATAGGTATTTAAAAAAGGGTGCGACATGGCGACACGGCGACACGGCTAGGGCTACCCACCTTGGAACGCCTTGTAAATCTTGATAACATGATTATAACATTTGAAAAGTAAGATCAATTTTACAATCGTTTGTATGGAGATCAAATTCTGATCCGATGAATTAAAACTGACTACTATCCGGTTACTAAAGATTTTGAAGCTTAAAATGTACGCAAGTGAAATACTGTATATAAAACTCTGACGTTCAGTTTTCAGATAAATTCTGCTTCGCAAATACGAAGGCTGGAGAAATTTGCATAATCGACCATAGGCGTACTTGACAGATTTCCGTGAAATGGTTTAACAAAGGTCTCCTCTTTAGCTTTACTTCTGTCAACTCAAAGAAAAAAAGCTTTAGGCGACAAAGGGGGCTCTGAGTTTTAAACTAGTTGTACAGTTTGAAACATAGAATGGCTAATGGGTTTTTGTTTAAGAATTTTCACAGTTGACAAAACTGACCTATAAAAATAATTCTCATTTTTGCTGTGTCCACTGCCTCCAGTCAATATCTAGAAAATCGACTCAGAGGCAGAAAGCGTGAAATCGTCCACGACGTTTTTGTGGTAGGCTTGGGTTTCCTGTGTTTATCTGAACATATGTTGAATTATTGACATTTTTCATCGAAATGGAAACCTGCAGAGTGACGACCGACAGGGTCACCAACTGAGTGCTTATTGGCTAATCAATACTTGAAATACACTTCTTATCAACAAGACAGTTTGTGCTATTTATACTAGTCGACTAGTCAAACGACGAAGTCCTGTAAGGAGCTAGGACTGATTCAGGACTGTCGCTCAAAGCAAAACGAAGAGTTACTTTGCGAAAATTTTCCTCGCAGAGAAGGTAACGAGGAAAACGATATCCGGGTCGTCTATAGCGGCATTTTCTTCTAACCATAAACAAGTCTGATCAAATTGCCGGGTTGAATTCTTATAGTTATTGGTCATGGTCAATTCACCTGACGAAGAAATCTTTGGAGAAATTTTACGGAAGAAAATGAAGAAAAACACTTGGAGAGAATACTGGGTGATTTTACGAAATGACAGGCTTATCTTCATGAGCCCAAGTAAACGAAAAGTCGCTGGAATGATTAAACTGTCACAGGAAACAACGTGCAAGGTTGTTGGTAGAAAGTCATCCAAGCATGTTCCTGATCATGGGACGAAACCAACGGTTGATCATATGGAAAATGGAGACGGAACTTGTAAATTTAAATTATATGCAAAAAGAGGGGTTCACCTTTTAAAAACGGACTGCAAATCCAGTTGCGAAAGGTGGATTGAAGCTATTTCGCATGTGGTACATAATCTGTGGGATATGAATCCTTCTAACAATGCCCCAGCGGCGCCGTTTTATAATGGGAAACAAAGCCTTAGATGTCGCCTTAAGAGAGATATTATCAATACATGGGCCGGAATATTTGGGTATGCTACATTGGTAGAAGAAGACGAGGGGACTGTAGTAGAAGAGAATATCGAAGACTCAGGTGGAATTCAAAATGCGAAAGCAATATCACCACGGATAACTGTTACTGAACAAGGCACGTTTTCCAAGTGGATAAACTTTCGAAACCATTTGCCGCGAGCAAGAAGCAATCCCATTAACTACAAACTTTTGATTGAAGACATAACAAACTGACGTCATCGCATATTTAATAAAAAAAATTATCAAGAAAATGGTTTCCTAGCATCGCCGTTGGAATTAATTCATTAACACTTCCTGTGACAATATAGGCAATAAAGACATTCAGGCCACATGCATTATGATCACGCAGCGTGGCAAACTTTACACGGGTATACGTGTTGTTCACACGCAAGATCATGCAATACTTCGCTGAAATAATTTCAGCTGTTCTTAAAATGAAAATGCACGCTTGTATTTTAGCTCTTCGTTTTCCGTTATCATACGACATTGCACATTTCGCTGAATAGAAATCGACCTTATCTTGCTTTCTGATGTAATGTAGAGTTTTGTTTATGTATATTCATATCAGCTTATTAATGGTTACCATGCGTTTTATGGAGGCAATAATAAATTATTAACGGTCGATGACCAATTTGGCTAACTTTTTTAAATATTTAAAGTTTACATGAGACATGTGGGAAGAAAGGCGACAGCTTACCATTGCTGCAAATAAAATCGACGCGAGAATGAAAAAGCAATAACATTAAATTCATCAAATATACTGATCTTGTCAGTTTTATCAGATCTTCACTTGCTAGCTGGTTTTACGAAGTCTTCATTTTAATTTTTAGCCAAAACAAATAAAAATAAAGTTTAAAAAACCGTGGCAATGGTCACCTTTCCTTTATATTGCGAATTTTGGAGCATGGAGGATCCCTGGGGGAGGATCGCTACTTTCACGGCTCGTCACATTCGGGTAGCGAAAAACTGAATGTTCGAAATTTGCGAAAACAGCACGCGAAACCATGTTCATTTTATACCAAAGAAAAAAAATTGATTATCTCTATTCTAAATTGCATGACAGGTTTCGTACTTTTAAAAAAAGGTGTAGATTAGTGACACCAAAACAGTGTACTTCCCAAAAATTGCACACCTATAAAACTCTGAACCATTCGTTAAAAGCCGTAAATATTACCTTAAACGCCCTTTGATGCCAGTTGGGGAAAAAACTAAAAAAGGCTAACCAAAATTCAGTTAATTAGTCGAGCACAACACTGCATTTCTGTTCCTAAACTGGGCTAAAATTCAGGCATGCGCAAAAGATAAAAGTTCAAGTTTTTGGGTTTAATGCCCCCTCCAATCTCGACCCCAATGCTTACGCAATCTGACTCATGCGCAGAGGAGCTCTGGGGTCGATTTTGCGCCCTCTCAAATTTTCCTTTTCACTATCTCTGCTCCTCGCTTTTACCCTTTTCACGGCCAGCTGTTTTGCTGATGTTGCTAAGCATTCTGATTTCTAATCAAATTCTCCTCGTTAGTACCCGATGAACGGTAAAGAAATGATTGGTGAATGTGCATATTAATCCACGCCATCAGGAACCCAAAAATGGGCTCCTGACGCCATTTAGAAGGGTTCATGACGTCGATGACGTCATGAACCTTCGGCCCAGAGGTCCAAGAACCAAAACAAACCAAGGTTCACCAAACATAATGTAAGGGGTAGTCTTCTCGGCTTTGCCAAAGCTCCGTTTCAGTAGATTCTTGTATTTTTCTGAACGCTCGTACATTTACAAAAGCACAAGCGCTTTTACGTCCCAGGGTCTAGCCAGCGAACAAGCTCTCTCACTGCCCCCACCCAACCAAGCCTCCCCCCAAACTCGGCAGCAAGAGACCTTGCTCGCAGGCTAGTCCCCCCCCCCCCCCCCCCCCCCCCCCCCCCCCCCCCATCCCGTCACGTCTATTTCCCCCCCCCCACCACCAACAAAAAAAAAAAAACAACCCCACACACACACTCACATCAGAATAACATAGCGCTTCTACTCCTCCACCTATAAAACAAAAAAAAAAAAGTAAAAAA